AGAACTACTAAGCAAAGATTTAAAAATTGTCTCTTGACCAACCTCACAGCAACGAACTATATCATTTCTAGAAATCTAGACACTAAAACAAAGATATCTTTTATCACCAGTCAGACTTCACATGACAATTTTTGGCAAAGCAAGACACGTAAACTTGACTTAAATAACTTATTTCCAATGAATTGTCCCATTTTCAGCATCCAGCAGACTTTACCACACTATCAGAAGTGATGTCTTGCGTCTACGGGATCACCCCATTGGATTGGATGGATTCTGGATACGGCAGGACTGTATTTGAAACTCAAGGTATGCTTGTTCCTCAGTATAGAAGGCCAGAGTGCAATGGAATGATAAGAGAGAATATCCTTCCTTGCACCAGTACATATATTTTCACCTCCTGTGATGCTCAGGCATAAAATGCTGTTTATAACTCAGGTTTAAAGTTGGGAGTATAGAAGAAGAAACTTCTGAAAATTTACCCCTGCAGGCTTAGGAGCTCACTGGAAAATTTTTAAGTCATGCATCAGATTTCTGTCCGTTAATAATTCTTTTCAGAAATTGTAGTTAAAGTGCTTATGTTTATAAAACTATTTCAGAGAGTTTTATGTCAACCTGGCAAGAGGAACTATACTTTTGCTGATCCTTTCAACCTGCATCCTTTTTACTCTTGTGCTGAGTATATGAAAAGTCTTAACCTTTTCAGCATGTTCTTCTTTTCAATCTGAGTTTTCTGATCTGGGCATCTCAGGAATGTGGACAGTTCATGTCTGTGTTCTCAGTAGCTGATGCTTTTTTTGCTTTCCCACATCTGTACTCTTTCCTAGGTCAGTTAGAGCAGTTCCATCAACTTGGAAGGTCTGCCTCTAGCTTTTTTTTTTTTTTCTTTTTTTTCTTCTTTTACAAGAAAACCTGCAGTGTCCACAGAAATTCATATGTGTGTGTATTATCTTCTAACTTATTTGCTTAAAATGTGGCACAAATTATTCTGACACCCTTAACAGTCAACTGGAAAATCTTTCTGAGGTGGTTTCCAAACATTTTGCTCATTAGCTTTTTAGAACTCTGCTGGACTTTATGTTTTTTTGTTTTGTTTTGTTTTGTTTCCAAGTCTAGCTCTGTCACCCAGTCTGGAGTGCAGTGGTGCAATCTCGGCTCACTGCAACCTCCACCTCCCAGGTTCACGTGATTATTCTTCCTCAGCCTCCTGAGTAGCTGGGATTACAGGCGTGCACCACCACGCCCGACTAATTTTTGTATTTTTAGTAGAGACGGGGTTTCACTATGTTGGTCAAGCTGATCTCGAACTCCTGACCTCGTGATCCACCCACCTCAGCCTCCCAAAGTGCTGGGGTGACAGGTGTGAGCCAGCGCGCCTGGCCAGACTTTGTGTTTTAATGGAGTTGTGTAACTCAAAATATTCTCAGGGTGTGTGTAGCTGTGTGCATGTGTATGTGAGTGCATAATCCAGGCGTGCATTTTTTTTTCCTACATTCATAACCATATACTAAGCTATTTTGTAAATGTTCTGGAGCAGAGCATAGACGATCACAACAAGCTCAAACAGAAACCTCCAGTTTTAGTACTCAGTTCAATTTAGTCTAGTCTTCTTGGTCCCATACAAAAGGGCATTATTGAAAGAGCATTAAAAATTAATACATATTTATAAACTCAAAGAAAAAGGCTTCACAACCTCTCTTCGTAAAGGAGACAGGGGCTTTTGCCCCATGGCTCTGTGCAGAGCATCTCCTTGTTTGCCCCATGGCTCTGCGCAGAGCATCTCCTTGTTCCTCAGGCTGTACACAACAGTGTTCAGTAGGGGAGTGATGACAGTGTAGATCACTGTGATGAGTCTGTCCTGTCCCAGGGAACTCTGGGACTTAGGCTTCAGGTAGATGATGGAGGCACAGCCATAGTGGATGATGACCACTGTGAGGTGGGAGGCGCAGGTGGCAAAGGCCTTCTTCCAACCTTCAGCTGAGGCAATTGTAAGAATGGTGGAGATGATGAGGACATAGGAGACAAAGACCAGGTCCATAGGTAGGACAAGGACACAGACACTGACAACAAAGTTGATGATCTCATTGACAGTGGTGTCTGTGCAGGCCAGCTTCAGCAGGGGTCTCACATCACAGATGAAGTGGGAGATGACAAAGGTATCACAGAACAGCAGGCCAAACACAGATGTTACTTGGACAATGGTCATGCAAGGTGGCCATTGGACAAAGGCCAATCCCCAGTGACACAGAGGCCAGTTGGATACAGGCCCTTTTACTCATGATGACTGAACACCTTAGGGGGTTGCAGATGGCCACATAGCGGTCATATCCCATGACTGTGAGCAGGAAGCAGTTGTTGATGCCAAAGGTGAGATAGAAGAAGAGCTGA